CACTCATATTTATTTATATGACGTGCAATTCTCCTTTAAATAATTAATATTATTCAAATCGATATCGAGATTTAACTAAGCAGATCGACCTCCGCCTCGCTCGGATAGGCTTCTCATTCTGGGGAATCCTGAGAATTGCGCCTATTTTCACACGCGCTGCGTAACAACAGGCCGTGTTACTGACCACGTAATCAATACCATATACGTGTACAGTCGGCGCACGTGCACACACGCGCGCACACGCATGCATACACGCATGCACCCACACATCGCAACTACGCTGTAGACTTCTATCAACGTGAGTAACCGCGAATCACTGCTGACTATTTTTCTATACTACAGCGGTTATAATTAACATTTAAATCTGATATTACGCCATACTAATTTCTTTACAATTATTTTCGATTCATATGAATTAGCTCCGAAGTATGCCCGCAAAGAATCGCATTCTGAAATTATATCTTTATGCAGCTCAGCAATAACGGATGCATGCGTAACGGTAACGTTGTGATGACGTATTTCCGGGGGTCAATCACCGAAAGAAACGTTGTGATGACGTATATCCGGGGGTCAATTACCGAACGAAGCGTTGTGATGACGTATATCCGGAGTCAATCACCGAACGAAACGTTGTGATGACGTATATCCGGGGTCAATCACCGAACGAAACATTGTGGTGACGTATATCCGGGGTCCCTCACAAAGGGTAAATTTGTAACCTGACGAAAACTAATCTTCTTCTTGTTAGAGTGAAGCATATACCTGTCAACCATTACATAGGTTCACCACTCCTATAAAGAGCATAGACAATCGGTGCTGTAAGGTGGTAAGTAGCATGTATAGACCAGACTATCGTCGTTTCCTATACTTAGCATAATGTCCTGGGATATCTAGCTATTCTTCCAAAAACGTTGGTCTTCTTCTTCCTACGTACACTGTAGTTGCTTCGAAGTTTTCTTTATTTTTTTTTGTAATATCATGTGGTAAATTTTCGGGGATAAGGTTATTGGCCTCATACCGAACCCTCGACCCTGAGGACCGAGGATATGTTTCTGATGTCAGCCCTTCCGAGCTGTCCAGCATAGAGTTGGAGCTAGCGGAGGTCTATGCGAGTTTCCCAATAGTAGAAGGCGTTCATTAGCAGTAGAACTGAATAAGCATGACACAAAAATTAATTAAAAATACATAGAAGGTTTCAGTGCATACACAACATACATATTTGCTAAATGACTATACATATTCAAATTCCAGACTTACCTCCTCTTTAATCCTCAGAGAAAGACCAAACTTTTGCCAGCTACATGAACATGATGCCAATTTTCAGCACGTTGTCGGATTACGTTTTTCACATTAATATAGCGGACCGGTCACCATAAATGTCACGTGACAGAATGACATAATTTCTCGACAAAGGCAATCTTACTTGTCATGCTTTCTAGACGTCTACATGGCATCTAAATTACGTATACAATGCCGATTATTGTACTGACCGTTTCCTGAGACGAAATAGTGTAATATTTGTAAACAATTGGCGGTAGGTTACTGTTGCGTTGACCCTATAGGCTCCTATTTGTTTAGTACACTTGGTCATTAATTGAGATTTCCGATTATATCCACTGCGCTAAGGCGGAAATTAATGAGAGATGTAATCAAAGTATGCGGGATATAAGAAAAATAGAACTGGATAGATTATTTATTTAGTTATTTATTTAGAATCAGATGATATATATATGTATATATGTAATCAGGAGTAGATGAAGACTACTCTTCATCTACTCCTGATGTAATGTATGTAAATTTAGAGATAAAATATGATAAAAATTGTTTAAAAATTGTTGTACAATCGGTTCGCCCCTAAAAATTTTCATCAGAAGGAATATTGGAACAACTAACAAGAACACAGACAGTTTACGCCACGATATTTACGAGCTTGGATTACATGCACGATGATCAGCGGAAATTACTCCTGGCTGTCATTTCTTAGCGTATAATCTTGCAATTCCGCTTGGAAATTCAAGCGAGAAAGAGCGCGTATGTGTGCGTGCGTGAGCTCCCGCGTGTGTGTTGTGCTATGAGCATACGACATAGATACATATGATAATGACATTATAGTGAAGCTGATCACGGCGGAATGAGAACAGCAGTAACAGTGACGTCACAGGGACAACGCTATGTTAAATTAATCAAGAGACAAAAACATGCTCGGCTTCAAATTCAATGAAAATCTTTCGCATGAAAAGATCGGAAACACGCGCACGAAAAAAAAACACGTACGCGCGCACACGTTCGGGCAAAATTACGCGCGCGCACACGCGCACTTACGGACGCATGCATGCATGGATAGAAAGAGACGTGCGCACATACACGAATCTACGTGCAAAAGAAAACCACACGCACGCACGCACGCACGCACACGCACGCACGCACGCACGCACGTACACACACACACACACTCACACTCACACACACACACACACACACACACACACACACACACACACACACACACACACAACAACACACACACACACACACACACACACACACACACGACACGACACGTAACTTACACGTAGCGCCGGACCGACGAACTACACAACGTACGGACGACACG